TTCTCAAACAGCTGCAGTATTGAGAAGACCAGGCTGTTCCACGCTGCCTTTCAGAACCCTGAGGACAGCAGCCAACCAGAGGAACAGTATTACTCCCCTTTCTCCTTGGTACTAGGCTGACTTGCAGAAGCAAAATCTAGAGTAATTCCCACAGGAGATTAACCTAAGAACACAGGTAAAGCAAAGAAATATTTTCTCTCACCGAATAGTTTATTTCACCAGCTGAGAGCAGGATGCTTCAAAAACCCTACTTCTTAGTGGCACATATGGAAGTTGGATGGCTTGAACGTGGTCCAAGTATGGTAGTCTGCTGAGAGTGCCTGAATCTCGCTAGCAGCTGGGACAGGGCTTACCATCAGGGCTGTGTCCTCCTATGCCATACTTCTCCACAGCAGTCTCTGGGTAATGAATGGCACTCATAAAAGCATTTATCTCATCATTCAATACTACACTGTTTGCTACAGGAAGTCCTTGATTCAATGGGCATCCTCACACTTCCTTTCTTTACAGTTTGGGCAAAAGGCTCATTTTAGAAGGTCTAAATACTAGAAATATACATTTATATGCTTTTAACCAGAAGCCTTATAATAGAGTGCATCGAATTCCATATCAATAAAAATCTACGAAAGGGTCATTAAGGAAGGATGGCAGCTAGCTCTTCTTTACGATTTTATCAAGTCAACAATCTGTATGGCTTCAAAATATAGCAAAAAAAAAAAAAAAAAAAAGGTAGGTCTGTCAAAACACTATTTGACTAGTGAAGTCCTTCAGAAAAATCCATACAGATTTCATGTTTGCCAGCTTAATTAAAAGTAAAACTGTTATTTGCAACTCTAAAAGTACAGGACAGAAATGGCAGATGATTCTTACGTAATGATCCATCAAGTAACTAAGAACTAATGATTTCTAGGTGTAATATTTCAGGAAACAATTTTTGTATTATAAAGAGATATTAAACACTGTTCTTTAACAAAGAATGTAATGGGCTCTGGTTAGTTCCCACCAGCAATTTCTTCAGAATAGTTTTTGTTACCTCATTTCTATACAGGCAGAGAGAATCCAACATCTTACACATTACATAGGATCTGTTAACATGAGGCAGGACTTAAGAAAGACATACTTAAATATTTAAAATGAAGATTATTTTATTTGACATTAAGCCCCTGAAGAAGGGCTCATTACTGCAGCGCTGCTGCTAGGTAGAATTGTAAGAGGAAAGAACCAATTCTTTTATGTAGCCATAGGCAGGAAGATCATCACAATTAGCTATAGGAGGAACGCTGAAGTCATCTAGGGAGTTCCTGAATGCTGCACTTTGGGAAGCGACTCGTTCCTCTCCTCTAGACCATACAGAAAAGGCCAGGTTCTAGATTAGGTAACTAGAAGCAATTCAAACAAACCATAAGGGTAGTCTGGTCAGAGGGAATGGCCAGTCATCAATCACCAATATTTTTAATATTCTACTTCATCAAAATAAAGGAAATATGAATCCATTTGAACCAGTTCATTACACGCATTGGTGCTCTTACATGCACCAAATATTAGGCACAGAAGATGCAAGACAGACAATGAAAATTTTTGAAATCCTCTGCAAGGTTTTGTGACAGAAGCCTTTACCCCAGGACCCCTTTTCTCTACTCTATACCTTTTCTATACTCTATACTCAAACCTGTGGTTTGCTTGGAAACTGTAGGTTTAGGAAGAGGTGGTTAAGTTAGTGTCATCTGTTTATAGTAAGGATGGCTTCCTCTCCTGACAAGGAGATTTGGGTTTCTCTGGGACATGAGATCAAAGGGCAGCCCTCCTCCTGTTCTTTCCCTGCTCCACTCAATCAGAACATGTGGGTCCTTATCAACAGGCTGAAATAAATTGTTCATATAATTACATCATTAGTAAAAAGACAGATGCACAAATCCTTGTTCTTTTAAAGAAAACAATGTCAGAGTCTAAAATAAGAACCACATGGGATCTAGGCTTAAAAGCTGATAAAAATCAGCACGCAGGAAATATTTGGGTGAGGGGGGTGGTGGTGTGGTGTGGTGTGTGTGAAAGCCGAAGGAAAACAAGATCTTCCGTGCAACAAAGAAACGTCAGTGCAGTACAGAAGATTCAAAACCTGCCACAAACTATAGACAGAGGCCGATCTAAATTCCCTGTCCAAGGTGACTGAACCTCGGAGACACAGACGGGGATGCCGCCCCGGCCCTCTGGCTTTGCAGGGCGCAAAGAGGGTTCAAGGGCTTCTACAGGACCCCTTGGGAGACCGGGCTCCGCAGAGCGCCCGGGGACAGCAGCCGGGACGCACCGCGGGCACCCGCGG